TGGGTGAAGTCAGTCAGGAGGTGGGCAGATACAGGTGATCTCCCTCATCTCTTGTACATAAAGTAGCATTTAGTAAACAGACTACACTAAAAGGCAACAGAAACTGAGAACTGGTCTTCAATACAAGCGTAACACTGTATGGAGGAAGAGGAGTGTGTGTGTGGAGGTGGGGGGTTGGGAGGGAGGGACACTGAGACATGGTGGAGAGAAGCTGTCACTGTGGAGGGTGTGATGTTGAAATGGTTTTTGCATGAAACCCTGCATCAATATTGCAAATCACCGAGCTTAAAATAAAATTTCAAATACATGTTCTTTAAGAGCACAATTTAATGGGGTTACAATAACTACAGTCCACCATATGCAGGTGTTTATCCCCCCCCCCCATTTAGGGTTATTTATTTCTTATTTTTTTCTCTTACAAATAATTATAGGAGCAATAAATTGGAAATGCTTTTCTAAGTAAAATAACCAAATGTTTTCTAGAATACAAAGTTCCTAGAATGTCACAATGTCACTGATAACAAAAGGACCTGAATATTTTAAAGTGAAAATTCTTGAAATCTGTTGTAAACTTGATGTGCCAATAGTTTGAATGAAAGTGCCTGTTCACAAGTGATATAAACTGGCATTAAAATAATCTTCTAAAATGTTTGCTGATATTGACAGAACTCAAGTGGATGAGTCCACATATTAAATCTCTTAATTTCCGCTTCATCAATGATCAGATGAACCTGACTTCCATTTCCTCAGTGATGACCCTGGGCAGGCTGTACAACCAACCCTCCCACCGATCACTTCTGGGACCCCATGCTCCTCCATTTCCCCCAAGAGGTGTGTGCTGAGCAAGCCAGCTATTCCTGTGTGTGTGTCTCTGTGTGTGTATTGGTTTTGGGCCTATATCTGAAAGTTATAAGGGGTTACTACTGCACTCAGGAATTACTGACAGTGCTTCGGGGAAAACTTATAGGATACTGGGGATCAGACCTGGGTCGACTGCCAGCAAGGCAAGTGCCCTACATGCCTCTGACATGATAAATATGCGATTTAGTGAAATACAATCCAATAGATATATGATGCAATAAAATATAAACTAATAAAGTTATTTTATGTAAAAAGAAAGAAAAAAGAAGTAAAAAAGAAAAGAATAAAAAAGGAAATATTCTTAGGAACTCTCAAAGGTAAGTAGACAAATTCTTAATAAATTAGAGGCAAAATAGCATAAATAGAAAAACATAAAAAGTGAATTCCTAAATCTAATTCCTTTGTAAAATGCTCTAAGTTCACACTCTACTTTAAAGAAACTAGGATTGGCTGTCTTCTTTAGAACAGAGGTTCTCCTTGGAGATTACTGACCCTTTGGGGTTGGTTTGAAAGCTTATGGGATGTTTCCGGTTGAAGTACAGTGGATGATGTTGACTATCTTCTAAGGCTTGCACAACTTTGGAGAATTCCACTGAGTATTAAGTACAGAAAAAGTCTGTCTGTCCCTCAGAGTGGTGGAGGATCAGCTCCACAGAGAGTTCCTTATAAAGCTCAATATGGAAAGGTCAGCGTAATAATTTACAGTGGGAAAATTTGATAGACACCCCATCAGCCGGGTTATCAATAAAACAGCTATTAAATATATTAAATATATATTAAATATATCAAAATGCATAATATATTTAATATATTTAAAGTTGTAACATTATAGGTATTCATGTGTAATTTGGATTTTAAAACATTATGAGATGCCTCCAAACCCGGCACCAGGCTGGGTCTCATTGGGGCACCCTGGAGAAGGGACGGGTGAGTCCCCCCTTCCTGTCTCAAGAGAGGCCCAGCAGCCGAAAACCTCCAGAACCCAATCGCTGCCATGCTCACGGACCATCTCCACAGGCTCAGGACGAGTCTTATCCATGAGAATGAATCTGCTAGAAAACTCAGGTATGCGGTTTGTGACCAAAATCTCCAGGTTCTGATAGTCAGGTATGGGCTACCTCTCCCCCAGACCCGTTCTTCTGGTAGCCTCGTAGTCACTCCCACAAACAGCCTCTGACACCATGTAAGCTCATTAACAGACATGATCCAGAGACTCACAAACAAATCTTAGAAGAGACCAACATGCTGCAGAGATGCCTCTGGACCCCAAAGTCACCATCCAGTTCAATTAACTCCAGCTGTATTACCCTATACCAAAGTTTAGAATTCCTGAAGCCCATGGCTGCGTTTGTAGCCCTGTGACATCTCATTCTCTACCCCAGTTATGTACCAAGAGCAGCACACCACATCTGATGGGATGTAAAGTAGAAGGCAATCGATCTCGATCAAAAAAAAATTAGTGCTCAAGGCTTAACCTGTAACAACCTGTTAATAATCTCTTATATAAGGGTTTAATGGTTCCAGGGTGACATACACAATATTCATACTTTTCCCTTGGGTACTTTTCTGAAAAATCAATTTTCCTAAAAATCCTTGTTTTTAGAGGATTATTCATCACAAGCAATACAAAATAAATTACTGAAGTCCTGCTTTTGGAGCAGATTTGAGTAATGGTGGGAAAAGTTTAAATAATAGTGGTGGGAAAGCATAATGGTGGTGGCACTGGTGTTGGAATATTGAATGTAATAAATTTTTGCAAACAACTTTATAAAAATAAAGTAAAAAAATAAAATGAAAACATAATTTGGGGCGGGAGTACAGCTCAATCTTACCTTGTGTGCAGTCAACCCAAATTGAATCCGATACCACATATAGCGTCCCCATCACCCCAAGTTTAATAGCACTTTGTTGAGTTCTTACTTTATTCTTAAGCAATAGCACCTTACAGCTTCAGTTTGCTAGTGCAGTAGTATGTGGGTGTTTACATATTGATACACTTACATAGTATTACAGATGAATTTTATTTCCCCTCTAACTTACATTAAAGGAATTTGAGCAATCTTCAAAAAATGTGTATGCCATTGATATGTGAATTTTCTTTTAAGATGATAGATGTTGAGACCTGTTAGAAATGTTTCCATGTTATAATAAAGTCCTCAAATGTAAGGGCACATTTAATTTGAGAAACACAATCTTACACTAAGCTTTCAGTGAGCAAGAAACTTCCAGTGTCTTATGCACCCTGAATCAACTAGGTTCTTGGTATTTCACTTCATCTTGTTATTTCTCTATATCTTCACGCCCAAGTTCTTACTTGCTTCTCCATTTGGCTAGTCTGTTTTGATGGTGTCCCATCCATCTGCGCCTGAGTAAATACAACCTATCATGCTGTGTAATCAGAGTGGTTTCCTTCCCATTGCCAGTACTCAGAATCAGACAAGTGACCCAGTTCTGACTGAAATTTAAGGATATTTGGTAAGGATTTTTGGGAAAGATCTGATACTTACTGAAGACATTTAAATATGAAAAGGGTTATTTTTTCCCTCGGCATTACTTATACATATTATTTATACATAACCCCTGGAAATATGGTAGGTTTTCTGTCACCCAAAAGTGAAGTTCTGAGAAAGAAAGAACCCAGGGTAATTGATATTTCTAAGCCCTTTCTCTCTCTCTCTCTCTCTCTCTCTCTCTATTCCAGAACCTCTAAAGTGCTTGGCTTGGAAGGGGGAAACGCCACACTGATACTCATGGGATACTCTGGCTCCTATTCTGGGGTCACTCCGAGGATTATGAATCTGGGGATTGAACCCAGGACCTCACTTATACAAGGAAGCACTTGACCATTGAAGAACATTATGTACCCAAAGTTGGGTTTTTTTCTTACTGCCAGCAGCAAGCTTCCTACTGCATGCTGTGCAAAGAAACCAGTTCTTCTCTCCCAGTCATCAGCTCCTAATTCAAAATCCCTGGAATCTAATTGTGATCCAAGTTCAGCTCTAGGGCTCATGGGAAAAGGGAGGCCGGCTTATTTTACCTGGGCTCTAAGCTCCACAGGACTGCTGTCCAATCAGGGGGAAAAGATAATTTCCTGCTTTTACATCAGTAGTCCTCAGGGAATATAATTTGGGGTCAATTGTCCTAATCCTTGGCAAGGTGAGATGATATACCATTTTCCCCCAGTGCACGTAGTAATAAATTTAAGAACTAAATTAGAGCTATGCTTTGGCGAGTTTTACTTAGCAAGGCTTTCTTTTCTTGAAAAAAGATATGTGACTGAAAGTAAGAATGTAATAGTCCAATGGATAATCCTAGTCCTAAACGTGTGAAATTGGCCCTTTATTGGTTCCCACAATGTTTAATATTGGCCTTTTTTCCTCAGTGCACTTATTATCTACCATAATCCTTTATTCCTTCTGTACTTTCCTCTTCCTCCCTTTCCCACACTGATTACCCAAGGAAACTATCTGCTTTGCACAACATATAGAGTTACAACTCTTCCAAGTTCAGAATGAGTTGGCAAACCCTTTCCAAATCCTTGCTGGCAGCTTCTTAATGGTTTGTTTTTGAAAAAAGAAGATCACACTGGACAGAAGTTTATAAATTTAAGAGTCTTAATTAAATTTTATTGGACTTCAGTGTTAAAGTCCTGCTCTGCATTGGAATCGCTCACATAAATCCATTCCATCCTGGACGGAAATGTCTAGTGCTGCAGCTGTGACTACCCGAAGGCCTTCACACAAAACAGCTAAGATGTGCAAAGCCAGTCTTTTTCTTAAAAAAGAAAACCATCAAATCTTACCATGATAGAGAAGGCAGAGCTTATTTTACCTGGGCTTCTGTTAACTAACATACACTGACGACTTTATTCTATCCAAATGATGCCTGAGATGTGGAAGACCTTGGAGTTGAGACTCTTCACTGATGATGAAATCACCACTGACAGAGTAACCACGTGTCCCCAGAGCAGTTGAGGGGACAGACTCTGTCCAGGGCTGCTGTCCTCACTTGTTCTCAGACCTACAAGCGGAAAATGCTCAAGCTCTAGCATTCAGAGGCAGGTGGGGGAGTGCCTGAAAGGTACTACATCTGGACGGACAATCTAAATAATAAAAAACGATGCTACTTTGAGCCGTTGGAACTACTTTCATTGTCTTTATTAAAAGTTATTTTCCATGCATTTTCAGAGGATAGCTGGGAGAACTGAGTGTATCAGGGATGGGACAGACGGCAGTGACTGCAGAGCCAGGAAACGGCATTCCGCTCCTCCTACCCCAAAACAAAGGTTAGTCCTTGAACTCTGAAAGTACTATTTAAATAAGAAGAAATTAGTTTCTTTTATCAGCATCCTTGTCAGCATGATTCTAAATTGTTCCCTCGAGTAAGTCCTCTTTTTGTAAAATAAACACTTTAAGCTATTTGAAATATATGTAAAGTTTCATTTTGTTCAGTATTCTTTACCTTCCGTTGTAAGAAGTTATTTCTGAAACCCCGAAGGTAACCAGAAGAAAAACATTTTAAATCGTCTTTTTTTCAAATGATAATTCAAAGGCAGACTTGTAGAGAAATCACATTTAAGGGACAGAAGGAAAATGCAGCCTCTGAAGGGAATTCTCCTAATTATTATCTCCCAAAAGTAGTTACACAATTAGATTCAGGGACTTCAAGACAAAGCAGTGCTTTCAAACAAAAAGGAACAATGAGGTGAAACAGAAGGGGGAAATGGATACAGAATATCTATTTGAGTTGGGACCAATACCATCCCTCCTTCATGCCCATTTTCTGAATTCTGGTGACTTGCTTTGTTTCTCTTTTCACAACGTCCTTGCTGAACTCTTAAAGCAGTTTTCGAAGAGAACTAAACAATAGTGACCATTTTGTTCGGATTCAAGATTTCGATCCAGTAGCCATCAGGATCTTGAACAAATGCCAGGCCTTTCATTTTACCTGTGAAAGGAAATGATTTTCATCATTAAAATGCCAGAGATGACTTTAAAAGTATTTTAGCAATATTTTAAATTAGAAGCAATTTGCATTTTAATCAAAATCATTGTTTTTGTTAAAGCTGGGTTTTGTTGTTGCTGATGCTGAATGGATTAAGACTGTATCCAGATAATCAAAATCTAAAGAAAAAGGTCATCTCCTATCCTGCAGGACTTCTCTGGTTTACTTGTGGACAGATTTGGCAGGGGCCACTTTAAAATATTAGCGACTTGAAGTCTGCGTCAATTGCAATTTTATTAAAATGAGGAGTAAATACAAGTAAAATGAAATAATTGTAATCAACTTTTTGAATTAAATTGTTAGTGTTAGTATGTGTGTTAAAGTAACTGAGTTAAATTTTAGTTTTGTCTTTGAGAAAATTAAGTTAGTTTCGAAAAGTTTTGAAAAATGTATTGTGTTTAAGTGGAAACTTTTGTGAAATCGGGTTTCCCAGAACTAAACTCTATGGAAAATTTTAAATTGTGAAAAAAAGAAGGGCAATCATAAAGGCTCTTAGAAAAACTCCTAACTCCATGATACTCACTTTTTTTTTTTACAAATTCAGGTGCATTTCGTGTGATGAAGTTTCATGGGAGGCATAGCCATTAAAGAAGTGTTTAGCATTTTAACCATTTAACTACAAAATATCACTAATTTTAAGTGAGGTTAACTTGGCTGAGAGGTAAATGAGTGAACCGAAATTTAACATATTTAGGAATATTTGATTTTTGAGATTTTGGGGAGTTTAACATATTTAGGATTACTAAAATAAGAAGTAGCTCCATTCCTCACCACCTCTCTTCTGAAAAGAGTCTCCAGCTCAGGAATTTGTCTATTTCCTACTGATAACAGACTGAATGGGAAAAATTGAACAGTTTTAAAGTTCAAGCGACCACAACATCCCCGTTAACTTTGTGTAATTTCTAAACTAAAGAATTGAGTAAGAAATGTGAAAAGTGATTATAATCAACCTTTTGAGGCTATCTTGCTAATTACTTTGCATAGGACAAGAAAGCACATGTTATTAAAACAAATTTATTTTGTTAGTTTTGATATCAGGTCCTAAACTCCCATTTTGGCCTTAAGAGGTGTAAGTTTTATGAATAAATGTGAAATCCTTGTTTTTTTTTAGTGATCATTTATGTGAGTGTTGTAAACACTTCAACATCTATTTTCCTAAAAACTGAGTCTTAAGGATAAAAAGTATATCCTGATTAATTTACAACATGGAACAAATTTTTGCCTAGTATGGTATGTGATCTTTAGTTAAAAGTACTTAAAAGTTTTATAAATGCAATGATTGTGCCTGTGTTTGAGATTTGTTTTTTTTTAAACTTGAAATGTGGTTTTGTCATTTTTGATCTATCAGTGTTGCCTGATCAAAACATGTGGTAGAATCTGAGAAAAGGTTAAACCTTAAAACAGGTTTCTAGGTGCCTAACTACTTTGCAATTAGATCTGTGTTATCAAATAGCTGGTAAATGAGATAAGCAGCGTTGTGTTCAGGCTTTTCTATTACTGCAGAACCCCAAAACATAGTCCCCTTGCAAAGGGGTTCCACTAAATAAGTTAAAAGAGGAGACAGCATCACTTAGTCACGAGGAGCAAACATGGAGAAAGTGGGAATTGTCAGCTGACTCCCACCACGCGAGTGAGAACTGGGAATAGACAGTAAAGTATCACCACCCAGGCCGGTCACGGTTTTGAAGTTAGGATGATATTCTAAGAACTAAAAGTTCCAAATGCCTTATGAATAGACTATTAGGAAAATAAAATATGTATTTACACTAAAAATGGACTTGAGATCTATTTTGTTGTATGTGTTTTGTTTTTCGAATAAAACAAGTGATTAAGTGATTAAGTGATTTTGTTTTTCATTTTTGTGTCATGCCCAGTGATGCTCAGGGGTTACTCTTGGCTCTGCACTCAGGAATCATTTCTGGCAATAGTTAGGGGAGCCATATGGGATATTGGGGATTGAACCCGGGTCGGCTGCATGAAAGTCAAGTGCCTTAACTGATGTATTATCTTTCCGACCTGAGACTTAAGATTTTAAAGTGATTTCAGTATAAGAGTTTTGTCTCAAATGAAAATTGGTCTTTAATAGAAAGGAGATATATTTGTGACAGAATAGCCTCATAGACATAATTCAACATGGTCCTGATTTCAAATAAACTTAATGTTAGTTGCAGTTCTGAATTTTGTGCTGCTCTTTAAACCTGTGTTATTCTTGTTAAATGTGTAGTTAAATAATGTTTACAATAATTTGTATGAAAGTTTTGTAAATCTTATAAGGTTATAAGAATTGAAATTTTAAGAATTATTGATAATTATAATTTTCACATACGAATAAAGAAACCACTGAAGATGAGTAAAAATTTAAGCAATTTGGTTTAAGATCATACCACATGTCTGTTTTAAGTGATTTAAAAAACTTTCTGTCTTTAAGATAATTACCTGAAGCAATTGTAGACTTAATCATAAGATAAGGGAAATAGATGCTTTTCTCTATTATGCCTTTTGCTGCTTTTTACTTTGTAGTAATGTCTATTTTACATAAACAAAGGAAGAAGATATTATGCTTTTGCAATAAATAATGTGGGAATTAATTAATTCCAAAAACCTAATGTGCACGCAGGTGGACTTTAACAAAAAAAAACAAAACAAAAACTGAGCATTCATCATATTAACTTAAGCTTTATTTGCCTTCAGATTGGCTTTAATTCCTGACACCCCAGCCCAGGAGTGGCCCCTGAGACCCCTGAGTAGCACTTGGGAGACTCGACCCCCTTTACCAAATCATCATACAGATGTACAAAACATATCCCAGACATACAACAGTCCAGGAGTTTTCTCTTAACAACTCTTTGAAAATGGTTTTGGTTGATGTACTTAAAATAAAGGGACAAAAATCCAAAGGATGTTAGAAGAGATAGGTGGAGAAAATCATATAAAATACTTCGATATGCAGTATCTTAAAATTGAAGACCAAAGAAAAATAAATTAGTAATATCCCAGTCTGAGAAATAATAACAGTGAGGTAGAGCACTAAGAAAATGTCGGGCAACTCTGGGCTGAAGAAAGCGAGCAGCAGACTCACCATCATCAGGTTTCTTCACAAATTTGACTCCCAGCTCCTCGAATCTTTTACAAGCACCGTGGACATCAGGAACAGCAATCCCAATATGACCTTAGGGGACCATAACCAAGGCGAAAAGGAGGAGGGAACGAAGAGATTACGAGTGGATTCCAAAACTCTCTTCAGAATTAGCCCAAAGACTCATAAAGAGTAAGTCTTAAGTCTAATAGGATAAGCAAAAATTCATTATTAGTCTGAATGGTATCTATCTAAAATATGCCTGACACAGGTTCCTTTATCTAGCCCAATTATTAAGGACAGCTGACAACAGTTTCCTGCAGTGGGTGGGCCAGCCACCGGGAGGGGCTGCTGGAATGACTGAGGCAAAATGATGCAACTGAGGCAGCTTTGGTTGATTTCTTTAAATAAGACTGACGTCCGGAGAGACACAGAGAACGTTTTTCTGAAAAGTGGGTGGCGAGTCAAACAAGCTGGAAACCTCTACCCTACACTAAAAACAGAATAATTACTTGCTAATTAATTACTTGCTAATAATTACTTGCTAATTACTTGCTAATAATTACTTGCTAAATAATTACTAAGGATGTTTATTGCTAACACTGTCTAGTATACAATTCAAAACTCTAATATCATCATTTTGATTGAAATTTTAGCTTAAACCATGACGTGCATGCCAGCGGAAACTGGCAGTGTTAGTAATCAAAAGTGTATGTATGTATGTATGTATGCATGAATGCATCTTTGTATTAATTAATTTATTTATTGCTTTTTGGGTCACACCCGGCAATGTACAGGAGTTACTCCTGGCTCTGCACTTAGAAATTACCCCTGGCGGTGCTCAGAGTACCATATGGGATGCTGGGAATCGAACCTGGGTCGACCGTGTACAAGGCAAATGGCTTACCTGCTGTGCTACTGCTCCAGCCCCCAAAATGTATTTATTTTTAAATTAAAAAGTTTACCAGAAAGGTAATACTGATACTCAATACTGGGGGCAAGAGACCAGCAGGCAGGACGCTTGCCTTGCATGTGGCCAACCTGGGTTTGATCCCCGGCATCTCATATGATCCCCTGGGCCCCAGGAGTGATTCCTGAGTGCAGAGCCAGGGGTAACCCTTGAGCACTGCCATGTGTGGCCCCAGAAAACAAAAAACACAACTGAGACAAAACACTAAAATTATGAGAGAATAAATGTATTGTTTAGACTGAGGTAGTGACACTGAAAGCTCCTGGGTGTTTATAGGGCCATGGTCAATCCCGGGAGCCCAATTTTGCCCCTTCCAAATAAAAAATAAATACATTGCTATTAAACAACTCCTCAATAAAATTACTGTTATAAAACAAAAAATAACAGGAACCCTAACAAATTAGTTATACTTAAACTTTAAATGTAATCTTAAACACACAATGCAAAACCCCTCCAATTCCACATATGTGACACACAATAGCGGGCAAACATACCAAATCCTCGAGGGTCTGAATTGCCATTGTGGTAACTCTGGCTCTCGTCATCTTCAGTGCCCCAATTGCTATAAAAGGTGGTAAAACATAATTACAAGTGACCTGCTGAACGTACATTCTGAAAAGAAAGTTTCAACAACCTACTACCAAAATCTTACCACGTATCTACATCTGCAATTTAACATACTTAGTCTACGTTCTGCTTCTGTACATGCTAAGCTTACAACTGGGGAAGAAACAAAAAGGCAAAGTATGATTTTAACTAGACTAAGGGAAAAGTAAAACCACGTATCTGAGGAAGAATAATAATAAAGGTCAGGCAGTAATTCAAGCAATGGGGCACCTGCATGCCATGAGGATGGTTCCTTAGTATGGTACTGTTCTCACTACATCACTGTCAAGTACCACATCAGGTATCATTGGGTGTAGCGCTAGGGACCCCTAAGCTCCCTCAATCACGGCAGCACTGCATTATCTATCTGAGAAGCAGAATCACCAGCCCATGCAGCAGGACTAAGTATTACTGGGAGTGGTCCTGCCAAAAAATAAAATTCTCTGGGGATGTAACTCAGCAGCAGAGTACTTGCCTTGCATATTTGAGACCCTCAATTCCATCTCTGACACCACATACACACACACACGTATACATACAGATAAGTTCGATAATAAAATTAAATTGCAAAAAAATAAATGATGAGAGTAGTAGCAATTATTTGCTGCATGAAATGTTTGTTTGTTGGTTTGTGGACCACAGCCTGTGATGCTCAGGGATTACTCTGGGTCACGCACTCAGAAATTACTCTTGGAGGAGCTTGGGGGACCATACGGGACTCGGGGATTTGAAGCTGGGTTGGCCACATGCAAGGCAAATGCCCTCCTGCTGTTTCTCTACAGACCCTGTTGTGTCAAATGTTTCACTGAAATGTCAAAAGTGCTCCATGGGCTGGAATTGAAAATCTTCAAATTAAAAACGAGACTGCCATGTAAAAAGGTGCCACAAGTCATTAAAGAAGCAGAGTAGTCGTCAGAGATAAGATCCACATCTACATCTGATTCTAGGGCTATTTCTAATCAGTGGACATGCTCCATCACACCCACTGAAATTTCCTAAACATTCCTGCACGGTGAAATCATGCAAACCTTATTTGGGTACCAAAACCATTTTTTAGTTTCAGTTTGGCAAAAGTCTTGCAATCTCTGTCTTTATAGTCTCTCTATAAAAGGCAAGCTATCTCATTTGTCTTCTATGTGCCACAAGAATAATACAAAGAAAAAAACAAAATCCATAAAGAACATCCAGACATATTACTATAAATGCAAAGTGATTAGGTAGACCTAGTTTTAATTTAGCTAATAATTATGAAAACAAAATTTTAAAAAAAATGTAAATTATAGAGGCTGGAGCAATAGCACAGCGGGTAGGGCGTTTGCCTTGCATGTGGCCTACCTGGATTCGATTCCCAGCATCCCATATGGTCCCCTGAGCACCGCCGGGAGGAATTCCTGAGTGCAGAGCCTGGAGTAATCCCTGTGCATCGCAGGGTGTAACCCATCCTCCCCCCCAAAAAATGTAAATTATAGACTACATAAAGATGAAAATTTAGATATGGACCTGGGGGATGACTCAGTGTCAATGGTGCCTGCTCTGCCAGCCTGAGGCCAGGCCGTGAGCTTGGCCTCAGCGCCATTGACATGTGCCAAGGGAAGTCCTGTTTCCACCAAGGTGTGTGTAAACACTGCAATGAAAGTGTGTGAGCCAGCAAGCAGCACAACCAAAGAAACACAAACGTCATGGTCCGGTGTACACCTCGATCATATGTGACCACCACAGCAACCCCTAAGTGAGCCCTACAACCAGATGTGCTGTGTGCGCCCCTCAGCTAAGGGGGTGAGCCCAGTGAGCACCAGAGCAAGCACAACCAAATACATGGCAGCCAAGTGACGCCAGCCCGGTGTGTGTCTACCCCATCACAACATGAACAGACAAGTAAATAGAGCACTCATACTTACTGTGTCAGTTCGAGTGTGGCTTTTCTGGAGAACACCCATGCTAACTTTTCGTCTTTATCTTTAGGGATGTCATTTTTATCCTCATACGCCAAGAAGTAGAGTGAAAATTTCATAGTGGGAAAATCTAATTTTTGGAGGAGCCTGAAATTGAAAAATAAGCCTGAATGGATCAATTAACAACAAGACAGAGTGATTTATATCAAAATCAACATGACAATATTCAAGTTCTATGACAAGGAAGAGCATTAAGCAGTAAGGCTATGATAGCAGGAAAAATTGGGAAATTAATGGGGAAAATAATCTCACTGAAAAACCAATTCATCTATAAATCCCATTGGATATGTGCAAGAAGATGTTTTAAAAGCAAACCCTTACAGTTCATTTGGTCAAATATAATAAAATTTAGCTACAATTATACTTGTTCACCAGTAAAGTTCACTTGAAAACCAGCAGGACTGTACTACTATACAAGAAGGGAGACATCCACGACATTGGCAACAATCGCCCAATCTACCGGCTGTCTGTCGTCTACAAACTGTTCACTCGAGTCATCCTGAATAGGATTGGCAGAACACTAGATGAAGGACAACCATGCAAGCAAGCCGGGTTCTAAAAAGGATTCAGCACCATCGACCATATCCACACGATAACCAAGCTCATTGAGGTTTCTCAGGAGTTCAAGATGCCACTCTATCTAACGTTCATTGATTTAAAGAAGGCCTTTGATTCTGTTGAGACGGAAGCGGTCATAAGAAGCCTTAGCCAATCAGGGAGTACAAACTCAATACATCAGGATCCTCCGTGAGCTCTATTATGGATTCACAACCAGGATCTCACCATTCTACAAAGAAGTAATCATCCATGTCAAGAGAGGGGTGCGGCAGGGTGATACCATTTCACCGAAACTCTTCAGTGCCACCCTCGAGAACATCATGTGACGACTGGAATGGGAAGGAATGGGAGTGAAGATAGATGGTCGGCAACAACACCACCTCCGCTTTGCTGATGACATCATTCTAATAACAGCAAACATCAGCCAAGTGATACAAATGCTAACCAACTTCGACCCGTGAGTGTGGAAAGGTCGGATTACAACTGAATCTCACAAAGACAATGTTCATGAGAAACAGTCTTGTTCCTGATGTTCCATTCACTCTCAACAGAACCACCATCTCCGAATGCAACAGTTATATATACCTAGGTCGAGAAATCAACATGATGAATGACCTGGCACCTGAGTTATGGAGGAGGAAGAGAGCGGCTTGGAATGCCTTCAAAACCATTGAAGAAATAACTAAGAGGACAAAGAATCTCCAGCTCCTAGCACATCTCTTTGATTGCACTGTTCTTCCTGCATTAACATATGCCTCAGAGACCTGGGCCCTACGAAAACAGGATGAGAACGCTATTCGGGTCTCTCAAAGAGGAATCAAAAGAGCTATGCTTGGAGTATCACGCTTCACTCAAATGAGAGATAGAATCCGGAGTTCCAATCTCTGTCAACGCTCAAGAATCAGGGACGCTGTCTCATTTGCCAAGGCATCAAAAATCAGATGGGCTGGACACGTAATGAAGTTTAGAGACGACTGCTGGACTAGAGCCATTACTGACTGGATTTCACAGGGCGTCAAAAGATCGCGTGGACGCCCACCTGCAAGATGGTCAGACTTCTACGTCAAGACCCTGAATGATCGGTTTGAGGCTCTGCATGTTCCTAGAACGAGCAGATGCCATTGAGCTACACTAGCACGCAACAGGGATGAATGGAGACGTTACTGGCACACGCTCGAGTAAATCGATGAGTAACGGGGTATCAAGTGATCAAGTGATACTTGTTCACAAATGGCAAAAAGCATACTTAAAAGAAAACTTAGGTATTTTTGTAAAAAACTTCAACATTACAGTGCCCCACCTGACAATCCTTTCAGATCTATCACAGTCAGTTTTACAACACGACTTTATTGAGTTCCTATTATCCTAAAACTCATAGGAAAAGAAATTGAAGAAGGATGGTAAAGGAGGAAGGGCATTTAAATCACAGAAGAGTAAGGTGTGTGTCAGCAATGAAGTGGTTAAGAGCATTAAATGCTGGGCTGGAGAGACAGCATAGTTGGTAAGGCACTTCCCTTGCACGTGACAGACCTAGGCTCAATCCTGGCACCACATATTGTACCCTGAATCCTCCCTGGAGTGATACCTGAGCACAGAGCCAGGAGTAAGCCCTGAATACAACCAGGTGTGGCTGGACAAACGAAGCAATAAAAGTTTATCAAGTGCTGCATAAAGGTCAAATTGAGAAGCTGGAGAGACAGTACAGCAGGTAGGGTGCTTCCCTTGCACACAGCCGACCCAGGCGGATTTCCAAAATCCCATCCCTAGCACGATCAGGAATGATTCCTAAGTGCAGAGTCAGAAGTAAGCTCTGAGCACTTGCACACCTAAAAACTAATCAACCAACCAAAAACGGCAACTGAAGTGGGAATCGATAAGGTGAGTTTAAACAGTATAAGATTATTTTTCAAGGTCTAGGCTAGAATGAGAATGTATTCAATTTTCTTTGGATTAGTGAAGAATAAATGCTCAAAGACGACCTGAGTCGTAATTAATAACAGGGACTAGCAGGGGCTGGGGAGCAGATAAGATCCAAGGTAAGGGTGTAAGAAACGCGCCTGCTGAAAAATGTGTGTTCTCTGGCTCTCCAGGCAGCTCTCTCACCGCCTGTTTCAGTGCTCTCGATCCACTTTGTATGGACAGGATCCAGACGGCTGTAGGCGATGGGCAGGCAAAGGACAAATGAGGACTAGGCTGGTTGCTGATTAGTTATTGTTTATTCAATCTCTGTCTCTCCAATCTCATGCACACTTCCTTCCTTGTCCCTCATTCCTCATTCCCCGCAATGCGTCTCACAGCCTGGGCTCTCCTCCTCCTCTCTCGGTTCTGACCCTGAAACCCCATTCTGACTCTAGCTCCTGATTCTGACTCTGACCCTACTTATAACTCTCCACCTCGTCTTCTGGTGCATGCTCTACCTTGAAGCAAAAACAACACAAGGAAGCCCTTCCTAACTGGGGGGGAGGGTAAAATACCTCTTAAGGTGTTTTTTTCCTTTACTTATTTTTGTATGGACACAGTAAGAGATACATTGAAGCTTGTAGGGTAGCTCTCCTGGGAACATCTTGCCACAGACTCAGATTACAGACCTCAGGCCAGATTAATTTTTCCTAACTCTAGCAGGGTCCGAATCTAGTTATTACTTTTTGGATCATGACAGCATCTGTCCATGACCAAGCTCTTAACTTACAGTTAAGCATCAGGCACTTTGGCCAGGCCCATCTCAATGCCAAGGTAGCACAAAGCTCACCGCTTGTCCTGGGTCCATCCAGTCCCTCATCGGGACCCTGCTTTTGGGGGGTGCTAGGAAGTAAGGGCGGCTGAGGCTTAGGTGGAGAGAACAGATGCCCAGGAGGAAAATATCATTTAGAGTCAAATGACTTCCACATAACAGCATAGCATTTACTACTGTCTTCCTGTGCCTATACAAAAAGGACATTGCTCTGAATAAACTATACAAAGGATTTAAGGGGAAGAAAAAAACAATATTACACCTCAGTGGTGCAACAAGAAAGAAGTTACAAATAGACACAGAGGAAAGGAAGCACTGTGATGGGAGCAACTCAATAAACCTAAACTACCTGAGGCTATGTTATCCAGGTTCTATCTCCATATGGTCCCTGTAACCTGCTAGGAATGATCCCTGAGTGGGAGTAGGAGTTAAGTGCTAAGCTCCACTACGTGTGGCCTCAAAACCAAAACAAATCAAGCAAAAAACAAAAAAAAAGGGGGGGGGGGGGGGAAATGGTAGAATCACAGTAAAAATAAAGTTTCTAGAATTCTACTCCAAATACTTAAATTATGACTGCTATATAATATGGATTGAGTTATCAAAAATAAGATTTACTCTAATGTATTTTTTAAAATTAAAAAAATTATGGAATCACCATGAATTACAAGTTATGAAATTGTCCCTGACGATGCTTCAGGTATACAATGTTCCAACATCACCCTCCAACAATGTCCCCAGTTCCCCTCCCCCACTCTGGCCTGCCTCGATGTCAGGCACTTTTCCCTTTTTCTTTTTTCCTTTAGGGCACTGTGACTGACAATACTGGTATTGAAAGAAAAATATAAAACACTCCATGAATTTGCATGTCCTCTGCTTTGTTCCAATTTTACTACATGTGCTGATGAAGAGAGCACGCTAATGTATTTTTAACAAGAATAAACATTTTAAAAATTCCATCTGTGAAAATTTCTACCTGCACCCACTGAAGCTAATGGGAATGGGAGAAAACGACTTGTTATAAACCTGTTTTGCTCACAAGGTCAAGTTCAACCCTTTTGAGGGGAATCTTAAAAGATAAGGTCAACATTGGGCCCCAGAAGTAGAGTTCCCGGGGCTGGAGCAATAGCACAGCGGGTAGGGCATTTGCCTTGCACGCGGCCAACCCAGGTTCGATTCCCAGCATCCCATATGGTCCCCTGAGCACTGCCAGGGCTGATTCCTGAGTGCAGAGCCAGGAGTAACCCCTGTGCATCGCCAGGTGTGACCCAAATAAAGCAAAAAAGCAAAAAAAAAAAGAAGAAGAAGAAGAAGAAGTAGAGTTCCCTGGGTGCACACTGTGCATGCAGGAGACCCAAGCTGAAACCTCCACACTGCGTGGCCAACTGAGGTGAAAGTGGGGAGTAGCCAGCACGCACCACGGAATGGTGCCGGACATCAATAAACGAACACTGGAGCTGACCAGAACTGATTCAAGTTCCAGCTCTGCCGAGAGCCCACTGTGGAATTTCAGGTAAGTAACTCCATTATCTTTAAGCTCTGGCCACTTCCTTCATCTGTAACATGATGATATTAAGTTACCTCCTGAGTGAAGTGATATGTACACTGCCTGGCAAATGGCAAATGTACAGAACGTTTGTTTTTATTCCGGAGATGATACATCGTTAACATTAATTATTCTTGGATAGGGAAGCTACCACTTTTCATTTTATTTTACTAAATAGATCAGACCTCCTAGACACAGACATTCCACACAACATGGATTTTTCTCTCAATGCTACTGGAGGTTATTTAGGAAGCAAGTTAAGATAAAATAAAGTTATCTTTAGTCTTTATGTATCAAAACCTTGGACTGGAGCCATAACACAGCCAGTTGGGCGTTTGCCTTGCATGTGGCTGACCCAGGTCTGATTCCTCCGTCCCTCTCAGAGTGCCCGACAAGCTACCAAGAGTATCCGCCCGCAAGGCAGAGCCTGGCAAGCTCCCCACTGCGTATTCAATATGTCAAAAACAGGGCTGGAGCCATTGTACAGTGGATAGGGCATTTGCCTTGCACGCAGCAGACCTGGGTTCTATTCCCAGCATCCCATATAGTCCCCCGAGCACCACGAGGAGTAATTCCTGAGTGCAAAGCCAGGAGTAACTCCTAGACATCGGCTGGGTGTGACCCAAAAAGAAAAAGAGAAACAAAACACAACTTGTCAAAAACAGTAACAACAAGTCTCACAATCTAGACATTACTGGGCCAATCAATGAACAATGGGAAGACAGTGCTACAATGTATCAAAACCTCATGTACTCAGATAAACATACTTCAAGTATTATAAAATCAGTGGATACTACCTGTTTAGTAAAGAAAACGCTCCATAAAAGTGGGGGTAAATGGCAGTATTAGGTAAACTTACTCATTTTCTACTGAGTATATATGTCATTGTCTCTACATCTATACATCTTTAGACTTACGTATAAATCTTTAATGTTTATATGTGTATATGTTCTATAGATCTAAAAAACATTCTGTATAGTTACCAAGAGATGTATGTAAAAATGATAAGCACTGGGGCTGGTGCGGTAGTCCAGCGGGAAGGGCATTTGCCTTGCACACAGCCAATCTGGGTTCAATTCCCAGTTCCAGACTTCATATGGTCCCCTAAGCCCCTCCAGAAGTGATCCCTGTGCACAGAGCCAGGAGTAAGCCCTGAGCACTCTCAGATGTGGCCCAAGCAAACAACAACAACAACAGCAACAAAATACAAGCACCAATAAGTAGTTTACTCACGTCATGCCAAGAATTCTGGTATAAAAATCTAGAGACTTCTTAGGATCCTTAACACGTAACATGGTCTGCTGCAACAGGAAATCCTAAGGGAAAATGGGATACAGTAAATACCCTGAACTTTTCCACTTGTTACCAAGATTCAGTTGTGCTCCCTAACTTTGCACAGATCATTTCAAAGATCGCTTTGGGTACTGAAACCAGGAGCTGCTAATGCTTGGTGAACAAAAGTGGAAGTCTCCCAGATGCAACGGTCACTCCCAAACAGCACTGCTGTTTCTTCTTGTGGGCTGCAAGACTCATATCCAGCCTCAAGCAGAAGTTAATCTGCTGAATAACTCAGGTATGCCGGTGTTGTGACTGAAATCTCCAGGCTTTCAGGGAGATGGGGATGGCTTACCTCCCCCATATCCCTGCACTTCTGGACGCCCCAGAAGTCATGCCCATGAACCACCTCTGAGTTCATTCACTGGCCATGATCCAGAGACTCATAAATAAAACTCAAAAGAAACCAAATTGCAGAGATCCTTTCGGACCCTGCGCAAGGTTGAGTCACCTGGGACACCTCAGAGGTGGGTGGGTGAGCCCAGCAGCCACCCGAATAGAATTCCTGCAGCTGAAAACTTCCAGACTTCACTGCTTGGGTCAAGCCCCATCCAGAAATTATTCTGTTGGAAAGCTCAGGTATGCAGATTTTTGTGACTGAAATCTCCAGGCTTTCGGGGAGTCAGGGATGGGCTACTCACCCCATCTCCCTGTACTTCCAGAAGCCCTGGCAGTCACACGCATGCCCCAACGCTGCAACCCTGTTAAAAATGTAACTCTTGCTGTATCACTGCATTTAAAATTCTTGGTCTTCCTGAAGCAACATCTCAAACTCTACAACTGCAATAAACCAGGAGTATAGCACACCAGGGTTGGAGTGACAGCATAGCGGGTAGGGCATTTGCCTTGCACGCAGCCGACCTGGCCGACCCAGGTTCAATTCCTCTGCCCCTCTCCGAGAGGCCGGCAAGCTAACGAAAGTACCTTGCCTGCACGGCAAAGCCTGGCAAGTTACCTGTGATTCAAAAAGAAAAACAAAACAAAACATAATATGCCAAACACAGTAACAAGTCTCACAATGGAGATGTTACTGGGCCCACTTGAGCAAATCGAAGAACAACGGGAGGACAGTGACAGCACACCAGATTGGATGGGATGTAACGTAGAAGGCAACCAATTTCAATTAACAAAAAATAAACACACAAGGCTTATGCTGTAACAATATCGTAGTAATCTCTTATACAAGGGCTTAATGGCTCCACAGTGAGATACAAGAATCTTCACTAACTTTCTTCGTAGGAGACACTTTTTGATCATTCTACTAGCAAATTATTGATAACAAGCAATAATAAAATAAATTACTGTGGGCCTGCTATGAAGGCAGGCTTAAAGGGTGCTTGGGAAAATTGGAGCAATGGTGACGGGAAGGTATAATGGGTGGTTCTGGTGTAGAAAAACTTAATGCCTGTAACAAATTATTATGAATGACTGTAAACCACGATCTTTATATAAAGTCTAAGGGGGCTGGGGAATCTCATATCTATTCCTGAGCTGTGGGGAAGTAGTGACCAGGCCTGGCTCTTGAGGCCATCTTGAAGGTCCAAGCTGAGTGGCAGTCAAGAGAAGCAGGGAAAGGAAGGAAGCCAGGACTTAAATTTTAACAATGTATCCAATTAAAACAAACAAACAAAAGGAACTTTGTCCTCTCTCTCTACCACGAAGTCACCCAAAGCAGTAAATGATTTCTTACAGCCTTCTGCCCAGGGGTACTTTCTGATAGGTCCCTTGTGGGCAGGTCCAAAGAGCCAGGGAGAGGGCAAGTGAGTTAGCTCACAAAGCTGAGTACATGTTTCGCATGCCAGGAGACCCGGGTTTGATCCATCACATGGTCCCTGCGGCACTACCAGGAGTGGCCTCCAAGCCCAGAGTCAGGAATAGCCTTTATGCATCACCAAGTGTGCTGCAAAAAGCACTGCAGCACCGTAGCTCTGTCCTCCCGTTGTTCATCGATTTTGCTCAAGCGGGCACCAGTAACATCTTCATTGTGAAATCTGTTGTTCCTGCTTTTGGCATATCTAATACGCCACGGGGAGCTTGCCAGGCTTTGCCGTGCGGGCAGGATACTCTCGGCAGCTTGCTGGATTCTCCGAGAAGGACGGAAGAACCGAACCTGGCTCGGCCGTGTTGGCAGCGTGCAAGCAAGGCAAACACCCTACCCAGCCCAAAAAGCAAAAATAAAAATGAGCCAGGAGGGGCTGGCGAGGTAGTACAGTGGGTCAGCTGCTTGGCTTGCACGCGGTAACCTGGGTTCAATCCCCAGCACCCCGGATGGTCGCCCAAGCCTGCTAGGAGTGATCCCTGCCCACAGAGACAGGAGTCGGCCCTGAACACAGCCTCGTGTAGCCTGGAAACTAAAAACAAAACCGAAGAGCCCAGGAGTTTATGCCCTAGGAATAACCTTCTACCAACAGTGCATAAAACCGGCAGCCCTGGCCCTCAAAGGTGAAGGACTGAAGCCCAGGTTCCTGCCAGCCCCACCACTACCCCCATAAGTCACTCTTCCACTCTGCTGACTGCACCCTCCACTGTGCAGCAGTCTCGTGACCCCTCCACTTTGACTACGTAGAGCTCCAGCTTGCTCTGCGGCAACCAAACACAAGTCACAAATAGTGTCCGATAACAAGGCGCAAAGGGCTGTGGTCCTCCACGACCAAGGCCCTGAGTCTGTTCCCTGCCCCCGCCTGCCTCCCGCAGAACCACTGGGGATGGCTTCCAAACTGCCAGGCCTGCACTGCTCGTCCAAGCATGGTTGAGCTGCCCCAAGCTCCAAACTCCTGGGAGAGCCCCCCCAAACACTACCGTATTTCTTGAATAAATGCACAAACCAGAGCTATGCATAAAAAAACGACAGAAATCAGCAGAATTATTCATAAGACCCTAGGCTCCAATAATGAAAGGCATGAAAGAATGCTCTTGAGCACTGTGAAATTGTTCAGCTTACAAATGATTTGACTAATGAAAAAGTGTGTGTTGATTGATGGACTTAAGATGGTACCAATCTTACAATGTTAATAATACTTCTATAACAAGTATAATTAATGGTAATACTACTTGCCTAGGGATCTCATTCGTTGTGTTCACTGTCTGAGGTACTCCTACTATCCCGGTAGGAACTGTCTCTCAGGTGCTCAAGAAGCTAGTGTCTCCTGCCAGCGCCCCTGCCTGATCCTGAGTGCTGGCCACACGGTGCTTCCCAGCAGATAGGTTGGACTCAAGGACTTGACAACACAATCTAGAAAGTGTGACCTTTCTCAGCAGTCACACGGTTATTTTCCCCACAGCTCACAGCATGCAAAATACAGATGTATTTTATTCATTCTGCATAACTAATTGTAGGTGGTAGGGTTCCTCAACAGTGCTGTTGGGGTACCGGATACCATAGTGCTGACCGAACTGGCTCAGTGCTCAGACTCCAAGGGGCTCGGTGTCACCAGGGCTACACCCGAGTATACTACTAGGGGATGGGGCGGCCCCTGCACATGGGGCTGGAGATCCACTTATGTGTTCCGGCCCTCTGAGTTATCTCCCAACACTAGGGCCCCCCCACCAGCAGACCTTACCATGTGCTCTGCCATTTCTTCTATAGCCAGGGCCCAATTTTGCTCAATTTTTAAGTCACCGAAAGAGATTCTTATTTTAAGCATTATAGACAGCGAGTAGCATGTCTGCCTTGCATGAGGCGGACCTGAGTTCAATTCCTCTGCCCCTCTCAGAGAGCCCAGCAAGCTACCAAGAGTATTTCGCCCGCACGGCAAAGCCTGGCAAGCTGCCTGTGGCATATTCAATATGCCAAAAACAGTAACAAGTCTCACAATTTGTTGTGAGATGTTACTGGTGCCCACTCGAGCAAATCAAATCGATGAACAATGGGAGGACAGTGGCCGTAACAGCGATTCTCATTTAACTCAAATCATTTATCGATAAATAAAATAATCTCATAAAGCCAGCACCATACCCTGTGGTGCTCAGAGGTTGCTCCTGGCTCTGTATTCAGAAATTCTTCCTGGTGGTGCTCGGGGGACCATATGGGATGGCAGGAATCAAATCCAGTGTGGCTGCAAGGTAGCACCCTACTATCTCTCCAGCTCCTGAATTTATTTTAATAAGCAGATCATAATGAATACAAGATTAAAGCAATCTGAATATTCATCCACTGCTTAGGATCCCATATCACTGGCTGCTTGGTTCTGAAGGTGCATTTTTCCAGAGCATCAGGACTGCTTTTCTCATTGTGGACTCCCAAAAGTCTCAGTTTCAGCAAATAACTGAAAGAGAGAGAAGCAGCTCCTACCAAACCTGGGATCTGGAAGCATCCGTGAGCATTACACTACTCGGCAATGGTTTTCTACTGGTTTTAATCACAAAAACTTCTGTGGCTTAGATGACGAGCCCTCAACCCTCCAAAGTCAGACGACCACACCCACTTCACATTCTCAGCACAGATCAGAGCCAGTCCCAGACACATGGTAAATATCAATGCCCTACTCCTGAGCTAATCAGCGACTACCTCGCCATCAGTCCCCATCCTGCCCGAGGGGGCTGGTGCCCGTCTACTCTCATCGAGATCCTTCAGGCACGACTACAGGCAACCACAGAGGCTGCTGAAGCAGACCTCGTGGTCACTGTGCTCACCCTGCAGGAGGTGCAGAGCCAGAGCACATGCAGTCTCAGCAGGAGCTTCAGGCAAGGCTGAATTCAAGGCATGTTTCTCACTGTCAATACTGGATACCGCAGAAGGAATTAAGGTACCAATCCCAGTGGACCTCAAAAGGGTGAAAGAGAAATCCTCAGGTTCCTGTCAGCTGTCAGGAGACACCCCATTTAGAACCAACTTAAAACACCCTACCACTGCGCCGCCTTAAATTCTACTGCACTCTGCAAACTACAAGGCCTCATTCCCAGGCAGACATGGTGATATCATCTCTGATGCAGAAATGACAACAATCCTTCCGCTTAGAGGAAGCTACAGCATCAAGCATTG